CTTGTTGCCTAGGCTGGAGTGCAATGGCACGATCTTGGCTCACTGCAACCTCCGCCTCCCAGGTTCAATGATTCTCCTGCCTCAGCCTCCTGAGTAGGTGGGATTACAGGCGTATGCCACCATGCCCGGCTAATTTTGTATTTTTAGTAAAGACTGGGTTTCTCCATGTTGGTCAGGCTGTTCTCAAACTCCCGACCTCAGGTGATCCGCCCACCTTGGCCTCCCAAAGTGCTGGGATTACAGGCGTGAGCCACTGTGACTGGCCATCCCTTTGATTTTCTTTGCTCTCCTCCCTGCCCTCAAGGTCTTGAATGCTGTGCACAGGCCCTGGGAAGGGTGAAGGGAATGGACATTGTTGAGTGTCCACTGTGAGCTTTGCCCTGTGCAATGCATTGGCAGGTGCGCTGTCATTGAGCAGGTGAATTCCTGGTCCTGTAAGGTTTCATCAGCATATAATAGATAACTCTATCTTTAGAAGTAACATCTGCTGAAATAGATTGCTTCCAGAATAGGCTGCATTCCTCCTGGTGGGAATCCTTGAGTGCATTACATTCTTCATGGCTTCAGAATTGGGAGCTTGGAGTCGGCCCTCGATGCTGAACCCTTTCCTCCTCCTCTTCCTGTGTCCTCACAGCTGAACTGCCCTGGGCACTCTGGTCTTTCCAAGATGACAACCAGCAGGCCTGGTTAACATGGCCATACCGGAGCGTGGGTGGCTGATGACAACTTCATGAAGAAATGAAGGGCCAGGGAGTGGGGACACCCCCTCGGGTAGAACATCCCCTCTCTGGCCCCCAGGGGCCTATCAAAGAAGGGGTGTGGATAAGACCATCTAGAGCTGCTTCTCACTCTTAACCAATCTTTGCCAGTTGGGGGGGATTTGAGGCCTGATGACACAGTGGGGACAATATTTTTAGGTTGGTATTTTTCATGCTTCTCACATTAAGCCATATGGCCAGAAATATTCCTTCCAGAGATTGCATTATTTTGGATAAGATTGTAGAATGTTAGAAAAAGAGTCATAGGACGGGGCGCGGTGGCTCACGCCTGTAATCCCAGCACTTTGGGAGGCCGAGGCAGGTGGATCATGAGGTTAGGAGATCGAGACCATCCTGGCTGACACGGTGAAACCCCATCTCTACTAAAAATACAAAAAAATTAGCCGGGCATAGTGGCGGGCACCTGTAGTCCCAGCTACTTGGGAGGCTGAGGC